AAACATATTTTTGAGTGGAGGTGGACTAAGTTTAAAAAAAAACATTTGCTAGAAAATGTTCTTGAGTTCAGCAACATGATGTTGATCCTTATGGCACACTTATTTACATCATTTTAAATATTGTAAAAAAAAAACAAGTTAAACATTTAGTGGAAATGAACTCTCCTTAACTTGTTTTAAGGTCAAGAGTTAGGACTTTAACAGTCTAAATGAGTGGATTGTTAATGCATTCAATTTTGTACTTGGCTGCATTTAAATCTTTTCCGCAGGCCATGTTTCCCAACATTAGCCGTTGTTTTGTGTTAAATCATTATTTCAGTCCAGTGTTTCAGTTAATCTGTTACACATAAGAGAACCCAGGCTTGTTTAAGTTGTGCATTCTTATTAGAAAATGTTAACCAGGGCCCCCGTAATGTGGTGATGTATTATGTTTGTGATGTTGAGTGCCCATCTCTTTGCTTGAAGAACACACTGACTCTCTCAGAGCACACATTTGCCTTTTGAAACCACTTTACCATTTCAGACCACCTATTTTTCTCTCCTCCTTTCCCATGTGCTATCCATCCCTTCACCTCAGCTGGCATATATTCATTATTGTATGAAGTGAAAATTGTTGCTGAAACCACAGTGAAGTTTAATCCAATGTTTTTGGCAGCTGAGAGGCAGTATGTGATTTTGTCCTAATAGACTTCACAGAACCACATCCTGCCATTTTGTCTTCCCCTCAGTCTGAGACACATGGCTGGATAGGTAGCCTACAAACACACACGAGAACACACACATTATGTATTTTTTTGCACCTACATATTGCACACACATGTCAGCTGGTGTTTGATCAGGGTTGAATATAGAGTTTGAATGTAAAGTATTTCCTAAGATCTTAGTAACTACTAGCTACTTTAAAAGTAGTGATTTACCAAATCAGGTTTCACCATTAAAACTTAGACTATATTAATCTTTGAATTGGTTGCCAGGAAACATTACAAGTTACCATAACTTTGCAGAAATCACAGTTTTAAAGGCGCAAAAGATATATGTTTTGTAAATGTAGCTATTAATTTGTTTTATTTATGTCTGCATACATGGACAAATATGTGTTTCAAAGTTAGTAGTATTCATATAGTTTAGAATGAGAGGAAAATGATTATGCTAACCCAACTGACATAATTTAATAATTTAGTTTGTTATTGGCATAATGTTTGTTATTTTTGTGAAATGTAAATCTCACATTCATATACTGGATTAGCAAGCTAACGTTTGTTTCTTTCAGTTGGTTCAATTAGCTGTAACAGTTAGACCCAGCAGTTACAGGGTGTAAGTATTTAGAAACAAGTAATCTCTATGTAGGAACTAGTTTGTGTGGTGCAACTTGTTTTAATTTAGTCATGTGTAAAATCCCTCTTTGGAAACACTAATGTTAGAATTAGGCTAAGTTTGAACAAAGAAACAGCTGGTGCAACTGGCTCCAGGTCAGCACGTCCAAGCCTGTGTTTAAGCTGTCAGTAATATTTAGATGGCATGGTTCTGATTAAGAACGACTTAAGTGTAAGTTGAAGCCATCACTACACTGTGTCATCCATGCGTGTATGAAGGCAGAGTCTATTTAAGTCTATTTTAGTTATGCTATGGATTACAATATAACTAATGTATTATTACTGTACACAGACAGACTGCTGTTTTAAATTTTGAAGACACAAACAGATAATTGCCAACTAATAATGTAAGTGCCAGTTATTTCCTATGTTACTGAAGAGCTGCTGTATCATCAATTTCACTGCATAGAAGAGAGATTATCTCCTACCTGAATGCATACTATCAGTATTCTACGAGAGAATTCAGCATTGCACAACAGATAAATTAGATCTCCATATACCCAGTGTGTATGCCATATTGCATTCTATAGTGGTTGGGGTTTATTAGATTCCAGAGGACATATTTGTTTAGGCATTTCATTAACTCAAGGTTAGCTGTGGCATCTGCTTCTAATGCTATCGAGAAGCAGAAGGACTGAATTGGTTTCTTATCAGGTGAACTGGCTGATTGTGGAAGTGAACCACATTATTCAGAGGGTGGGGGGTGTAGTCGGGTGCAGCCTTTTCATATGG